GCACAGCAGAGAGAGGACATGTCTCTGAAACCACAGCCCTAGGCACTCAAATATTTATCTGCACTGGTGAGTGAAAGGGTTTGAGACCCACGTGAAAAATTGAATATGGTCCTTTATTTTGCGTGGTCTTCTGTCTGTCAGCTAGTGATCACCCAGGTAAAGACCCTTAGCAGATTTCGGGACTTGGGTAAAGGTCTTCCTGGCTGACTCCAGTTTGAATGATGTTGAAGCCTTTTGCTCATGGCTTTTTACAGCGGATGGGTTTAGTCACTCCATTACAAACAAAAGACGAGTGCAAAATTCTGCTATCTGATTTTCTTCTCGTTTCTTTTTATAAGCTCTGGTTTGTTCTTATTTAGGTAGTAAAAAAACCCATTTTACTGAGAAGTAGGACTTATAATGATACTGTGCAATGTCATATGGTTTGCTCTGTTGCCTTCCTGGATCGTAAGTAACACAGCAACTTTCTCTTTCCTTTCCAGTATTCCTGCTTCGTGTTGGTCTTGTGATGAGGCATGTGGTGTTCTGCAAGTTTACATGGAGCAAAGAAGATCCTGCTTCTCCGGGCATGTGGAGTCAAAGGCTCTGGGTTGTTCTGCTCTTACAGCTGTTCCGGGCAGCAGCAAACTACCATGTTTCTTTAGTTGTGACCTTAGGATCGCTTTCCTATTTCTGCAGCCACCAACCTGCCCAGTCAGACCTTTGTGGATCAGAGGAAGTTTTGTGCCAGAGGCAGGGTAGATGTGGCGGTGTGCTCCCCGTCCATCCTGTGGCTGCTGGGGGGGAGGGGAAAGGGTGGGTGGGGGGGCACACACTGCTTTGCACAGCAGCCGGGGTCCCAAAGAGCTCCTGGGAACCTGGGTGCAATGCAAAGGCATAACCATCGGCTGGAACCAGCTGGGAAGAAGCGGGGAGGCTTCCAAACCAGCAGCCAGTCTTTGGATGAAACAGGATGCCACTACAAAGGGTTTGGCCACCCTGCTTCCTCCCACAAAGTACGCAAGTAGGGCGGGAATTTCTGGCTGGGAAAGGGCAGCCCTGCTCTGGTGTGTCACCTTGCACCGGTGGCAGAGGTGCTCTCCTTCCGCAGCAGGGTACCCCCACCCTCCCCGGCCCTGTGGGCGGAGGGCACCGTGCCTGCAGAGCTGCCTGCAGCGTCCAAAGGGTCCCAGAGGTTAACCCCACCTTCCACCTCCAACCCTTCCTGCTGCCTAAAAGCAGACTTGGGGCATGTTGGTTTGCAGCAAGGTAAGGAAGAAGCAGAGGAAAACCTCGGGTTTCTGTTGGGTCAGTCTTTGCTGTGGACAGGCTGTGTGTCTCTCAAGTAGTCTTTCAGTCAAGGCACCAGTGAGTTAGTGGATTTGGTTTCTGGTATTTTACTGTAGTAGTCTCCCACAGCAGGTTCCCTCAGGTGCTGAGGTGTTTGAATGGGGCTTGGCAATATCAGGTGCTAAGCAAAACGTTGTGGGTTGGTTTTTTTTTTTTTAAATATTTTTTTTCCCACATGTCCTGAAAGTCAGAAATTTGCCAGGCATGAGGGGAATGAGGCTGAAATAACTTGGTAAAGCATCCCTGATGGAAATCTTTTCACTTGTCCCAGAATTCTTGTGCCATTTTCTTACTGCCCAGTGGTGTGAATCCCTTCCAGAGTGGGTTTGGCTAATCTTTGCCCGTAACTCAGAACAGAGACGTATTGGGAAATGCTTTTTTTCTTTTTTTTTTTTTTTCTTTTGAAAAACGAAGTGAAAGTTTATCAACCTGTCAAGTTAAATGAGAGCCAGCCAAATGAGGAAGTAAAACCTTCCTATAGAATGAGCTCTAACCTGCTCACTCCACTTGTTTGCTCTCAGTTGACATCAGCCTTGCCATAAAGCCTCTAAATACGAGCTGGCGACTTCCTTGTGAGCCCACTGCGGCTCTGAGTCCAGCGGCTGGCTCACGAATGGTGGGACGGTGCTGCTGGGGGGCAGAAATCGCAGCGGGCAGGTAAGGTGCAGAGCAAGCGGGGCTGCCTGTGAGTACGGCTCGCTCTCTGGGGTGTTTGCTTTTACTGGTTTGGACAAACGTGGCAGGGAAGGGGGGGGGAAGAAAAAGGCAAATTTTTTCGTAGTCATCAAGGCATGAAATGACTGGTCCATTATTAAGAGTTTATGTGTAATTTGTGAAAGTAAAAATTCTTATTTCCCTGAAAGCAGAGCAGCCCATCTTCTTTCAGAGGAATGGCTCGTGGAAGGGCTGGAATGGGCTGGCAGGCTGAGGTGGTTTGTGGCGTGGTTCTCAGGGGCAGAGGAGGAAGAGGAGGGGGCCCAGACCAAAGGTGTGAGGGGGAACATGAAGGTGGAGGGCAGCTGCTGCTGGTGTTCCTCAGCAGGCACCTCTAGTTTAGAGAAGACCCAAACCTGCTCTGCCTTGACCAGTGCCGGGTCTGGCTGGGGCTGCGTCCCCTCTGCGCCTGCTCAGGCAGGACAGGGCTTCGGTGGGGGCTTTGAGGAGCCCCAGCTCCCTCCCAGTCAAGCTGGTCCTTACTGTGGTTCTGTGGCCTGAGGCCGCTGGAGGTGCTGCTGAAAGACACACTTGCGGGGCACCTGGTCCTGCTCTCACTGGTCGCAAGGGGAGCAAATACCTGCTGGAAGGACCAGGCAAAATCCATTCTTCAAAGCTGTTCAGGCTGAGGAATTATAATATAACCAGTATTTTTTTGGAAAGCTTTTACAAAAATTTCAAATTATTATTTTCTAATTTTCCAAATCTGTTGAAAGATCAAAAAAAGACAAAAGACCTTGACAAGTCTCTCAATTTTTTGGTCAAATGCAATTTATTTTTTTTTTAATAGCTAAAATGTTGAGAGTAAAATAGAATTTTGGAAATGTCACTAAAGCCAGGCCCTCTGTGTGTGTGTGGGTATGCAAGAGGGGTCAGGGCACTGCAGAGAGACAGGAGTGCTTTTTAAGCTAGGATGGGCACACAGCTACCTGTGGATAAATTTAGCCAGGAAATGAGAAGACTTTGGCTCTCAGTGGAGGGAAAACAAGAGCAGCTTCCCAACAGGGTTTGCTAAGGCGAGGGAGGGAAAGTGGCAGGAGGCAACCTGAGTAGCTTGAAAATGAAGGTCATCGAGTTTGTAAATGGGATTTCACAACCTATTTGTGATAGCAAAAGATGGACTCTGTGATGCACAATTCCTCCTTTTGTCATATGTTCCTGTGCTGGTTATAAGCACCCAACTGACCTGTTGGACTTGGGCGCGCTACTAACTGTTTACTAATGCGTAAGCTACTTTTATTATCCTTTAATTCTCTCTTTAGAAGGGTCACCTCAGTGTTGGCTGTGACCAAGGCTTTTATCTCAGGGTTTCAAACTCGTTCTCTCTGTGGTGAAAACCCTGCAGTCACAGTATTACCTATTTTTAATATTTGGCCAAACTGCAGCAGAAATGCAGTGGTTGACTTTGCAGAACTCACATGGTGCTGGTGCTGGCTGATACTGCATCCTATCAACCCCAGGCAGCAACCCAGAGCTGGGCGTTTCCCGTGCATTGCCCCAGCTCACCAAGCAGAAGGGTGCATGGAAGGACCAAGCCTTGCAAAATGCTGCCTCTGAGTGCCGGGATGCAAAGGGGGCAGGTGCAGACCACAGGCTCAGGGCTTCTTGGGATGGAGCTGGAAAAGTGATGTGGTGAGCAGCCTTCATCCAGCACATCCTCTCAGGTGCTGCTGCTGCTGACGGGGGCTGCAAGGTGCACGCCACAAGGTGGACGTGGCCTCTGCACCCTCTGCTGCTGGAAAGCTGTCTGGTAAAATTCGGGATTCAATTGCACCTACTGTCGGATGAAATCCAGGACAAACACAAACAACACAATGAGATGCTAACGTGGAAAAATGGTCTGATATATATATAAAATAAAAACTATCAGAATAGATAGAAGTACAGGTTTAAAAAATAATAGTGAGGGCTATTAAAACACGTATTCAATATTTTATTTTCAACCTGAGGACAGATAGCAACTGAAGTTTTTAATTTACAATATTTTCCTAAAATAATCTAGGCACCAAAAAAAATATAATCAAGTAGTATGTGTTAAGTGTGTGGAACCACTGACGGCACACCTGGAAGCAGGGTTTGCTGCAGTGTGAGCCCAGCTGTGACAGCTTCAGCTGCATTTGGGTACAAAGATGCATTTCAGTTCAGAGAGCAGCTATTTCAAAGCTGAGAAATCATTTCAGTAATGAAAAAGCAAGCAAATTCCTTTTCGTCTTCAGTCCATGAATTAAAAATAAGGATCAGATGTAAAAATGGATCCATGTGTGGATTGCACTGTGAGGAAAAACAGTCAAGCCCACTGGCTAAAATAAGCAACGCTTTGGTTTAGATGGAAAGGTACACATGGTAACTGCTTTCCCCTTATGTATATGACACTTAAGGTGGTTTTTATTTTACTGATGCTATTCGTCATTTTTAACACAGTACCAGATCTCTTCCACAGAAGAATACCTGAAAGGTACAAGGCTACATAGAAAGTAAAGGTCAAAGTTGTACCAGGTGGGGTCATTAACTAATTATCAGGTTTTCCGCCTGACCGAATCCGTTTTAAATTAACTGAACCCAAGGCAGCTTCTTCCCCATAGCCCTTGGTGCCTCGGGAAGGAGCTACACCCGTGCTCCTCTCCTGTCTCCCTGTCTCCAGTCCCTCCGTGCCTTCCTCCAGAGGGTTTTGGCTTCTGAGCTCCTGGAGGGGCCCGCTGCTGGGCAGGGAGCGGGCGGCGGCGCGCAGGGCAGGCTGGCCAATGCGATGGGTGCCACGCGGTGCTGGCTCCGGGCTCGTCATGGAGGCAGTAGTTTGGTCAGCTAATTCTGCGTCACTTGCTGGCCGCAATTAGTGAAGGGAAGAGGGCCGCCCTTACGTCCTACACGCGGGTAGGTGAGACGGTGACAGCTTTTATCCAGGTAGCGCCAACAATTGCGGAGATGTGGTGAGAGAAGCTTCGGAGCAAGCATGCCAACAGTGACCGAAGATGTTTGGCTTGATGGCTTGTGTAGTCACCCTGTATGTCCTGCTCTTACCACGCTTGTCGGGCTGGAGCTGCTCCGGGTATGCCTGCATGTGCTACCCATCACCTTAATTTACTGGGTGGACCAGAAACGTAAATAGTGCAGTTCTGGAGAAGTTTGAAGTAGCTTTCTGCTACTTCTGCACACTCATTTCTGAATTACCGGTTTCTCTTGACAATAAATGTAAGTGAAATTGAAACCGCTTTTCAGATTGCCTGCTTCCAACCACTGCCCAGACAGCTTTCAAAAAACAAGCCGCTTCTCTGAGCGTGAAAGCCCTCACTGAAATAGCAAATAACAGGAAAAGAGTAAGTCAGGCATCATCAGAACAGATGAGTGACAGAATTTCATAAGGTATGTTTGTGTATACACACACTGACACGTACTAGGAAAGACAAAACTATAAAAAAAAAAAAAGTTTAGAGTTCCCAGCTACTTTGCAAACACGACGTTTCCTTAAATCACTCGATGAAATTTGCTGTACTTGTTGAGTTGCTATGGCACCGAGCTCATCCAACAACATTCGACAGATTTTTATCTGTGGCTCACAAACCACACTGAGCAAATCGAAAATCCCCGGTTACACCGTGCTTTATATCATTTCCGGTGAGATACGTCTGAAGAACAAACTTACGCATACAGCGTGCCTGCGCACAGGCGGGCTGGCATAGCTCATGAAGTAGGATGACACCTGTCTGACATAATGCCTGGAGAGTGACAAACATTGCATGGGACACTCTAGTGCTTTTATAAATAAGAGGAGTGGACCAGAAAAATGCTTTAGCACTGAGAGAAGACGGGACAGCCTCTTCAGAGAGAAGGCAGCTGACCAGATAGGCAAACAACCGAGATTGCACGTTCTTCCTTAACGCTTGAATTTTGTTGTTTCTAATCTTTTCCCCCACCTAAAGCTGACGCCTGTTGGATGAGGCTGGGAAGACAGGAGCAGTGGGTTTGAAGGAACGTAAACTCCAGCTAAGATGGCACTGGCCGGGGCGCTTGCTAGCAAGCCAGTGCCACCGCGCTCCAGGAAAGATTCTACAACAGGGGTGGAAGTGCACCAGAGCAAGCTGGATTTTTTCTGCAAGCTGGGCTATGGCAAGCAGGACATCTGCAAAGTGCTGGAGAGCCTGGGCCAAGAGGCACTGGAGGATGATGTGCTGAAAGAGCTGATTCGGATGGGGAGCAAACCTCAAGCTCTGGAGAGCCAGGCTCAGCCTTCCCCGCTAAAACTTGTTGCCCGTGGCTCATGCGGTGCTTCACTGGGGTCGAAGTGGCTTGGAGAAGATGAAGGTGATTCTTTGGATCATTTGAGACCCATTGTGATTGATGGCAGCAACGTTGCAATGAGGTAAGCTCTGTTGCCTAAAAAGGATCTCTCTTCCTCTGAAGCTTGTGAATTTTAAAGTCAATGGCTTGAAGTATGTTTTTTCCTTCAGGTGAGAGCTGCGTTGATGTATTTGTTGTGTAATGTATGAACCACTGCCTATTCCTGTTCTTTGGCTGAGGCACAACTTCTAGGGACCTGCTGTCTCTCTCTACCCGTAAAATGCAATTGCTGGCTCCTCTGCATTTTGACCTTTCATAAGCCACCAGGCAGCTAACCACTGCTGCCCATGGTGGCGTGATTCAGCAGCTCGCTCTCCCATTTAGTTCACCACTGATGCCCATGTGCCTTTTCAAATCGGTACCTAGGATTTCTAAACCTACCTGCTGAGATGTTTCCAGGAAAAGCTGATGGCCAGGTAGACAGGACAGCCCAACTAACCTAAGGAGAGGGAAAATAAAGATGGGCGGCTGTGGTTCCCATCAACATCACAGTTGTACTCTTTTGACTTGCAAGTAAACCCCAACAATGTTCTCGGCTTGTATATTTTTGTCAGTTTTCGGTTTGGCTTCATTTTTATGGAAATGTCAGGGAATTGATAGTTGACTTGTACTGAATAGTCTCATTTCCTCCTTAATTAATTCTGTTCCTGGGAAATGTCATAGCAACCCATCCTGGCCAATTACACTTCCTAAGTGGTGCCCTGACGCTGTGGAAGCGCTCTCACTGATGGGGAGCCTGGCATGTCCACATGGATGGGAAGTCCAGAGAGAGTCATGGCTTGGCCTCTGTTTACCTGAGCGATACGAATGGGTAGAGGCACCCGCAGTTGAGAGTCCCGGGCACGCTGGCTATCCGCCGGTTTTCCCTGTTAGATCCCCTTCCCGCTCAGTGTGGCCGAGCCCGTCCTTGCAGGCTGGGAGAGGGCAGAGGAGGGCTTCCTCCTCCGGTTGGCTTTGGTGCGAGGTGAGATGAGACCACATCCCCTCTGGTTAGAGGGCAAAGGGGACAAGCACGTCCAGAACAACTGGAGACTTAAGCAAATTATGCCATCTTCTGGATGAAGGGAGAAATCCCATCCAAAAACGAGGGGTTACTCGGCCAGGGCAGCTCACGAGGAGTGAGAAATACACAGCAGAGCAAAATCACTTAGCCTTGGCTGGGCCATGAGCTCAGTAGCCAGGTGTTAGGAGGTCCTGCTCCCTTTTTTATTTTCACCCTAGACCCTCCTCAAGGAGGCCTCTGCAAAAGAAATGAGCACCCATTCAGGCAGAGCGGCTGAGCTGAGCACCTGCCCTGTCATTGTCTTAGGGGCAATGCTACCCCTGACCGGCTGTGTGCTTCATTCTCCTGGCACGACCCTGCCCTCACCAATTTATATCAGGGCTGTTTTTAGAACAGGCAGAGGTGGACAAGGCAGAGAACAGCGTTGTTTCCAAGGTGGCAGAAGATGTGCCCTTCCCCCTGAGCAGGAGGCCCAGAGTAGGTTGGTGGCTAATGACGTGGTGCATGTTGTGAGCTTGGAGCGCTCTGGGGAAGCTCCGAGATCATCCCACTGCACCAGCCCGTGCATGGGAGCTTGCTAGACCAAAATTATTTAAAACAAATGGCATTACAGGTATGTGCGGCAAATGGCTTGAGCTAGCATGTCGTATTGCCTTCCTAGACCACATGCCCACCTAAATAGGTTTTCAAGAAGTCACATGTGCTTCTGGCATGTAAAATTTAAATCTTTTTGTAGAATAATTTCCAAAATGTGAGTCCAAGAGAGGTTTGCCTGCTAGTTTATTGAAGGCTGGTGTTCTGCTGTGGATTCCTCATCTTTCACCTAAAAGGAATTAGAGGAATGTGAAGTACGTTTCAGTTTCAGAAAGATGAAGGTTTGACAGCTCTTCTCGGACATCCCCAGCCTCTGCCTTGATAAAGTGAAAGACTACTTGGATGATGGAGAAGACCATGAGCCTTTCAGTTCAGTTCGTACTGAACTGAAGCAGCCTGGAAGGAGCTTCTGGATGCCTTTCTAAAGTGGTGCTGAATGGCATTTACTTTGGCTAATGGGACAGGCTTGGTGAGCGCTTTCGGTATCCTCGTTTTAATTTTCCTGGTTTGCTGCTGTCAGATGGAGAAGAGCTGCTTGCAGAAGTCAGGGAAAAGGGATGTTAGGTTTCCTTGTGGGGAAAACATCATCATCAACATCAACAACCACAAAAATACAGGAGAAGTAGCAGTTTAGGGATGGAGCTGTCAGAAAGTTGAAGCTTGGAGAGGCAGTTGCCTGTGTGGAGAAAAGCATCTTGAGCATTTGTGTGTCTATCTTAGGCTTGGTGTTTCTGGAGCATTTCAGCATTGGCACACACTCCCCCCC